ACAAAACAAGGGTTTGCGCCGCAGAGTTAAGCTGTTTTTAGCTGAATAATGAGCGGCTGCAGGGTCCATTCATTCTTTAATTTCCTGTCTTCCTCCCAGTAACCTTGTTTCCTTTTGCATGTAAACATATTAAAAACAGGTGTTGACCTGGCTGCAGCTACAGCACACATTAATTACCTGCTACTCCGGAAAATGGCCACCGGACGTCCATGTAATGTTCTACCGATTTATCGATCCGCACTTGAAACAAGGAGGCGACGTTCAGAAAAACGAACAATATTGTGTATAAATGCTGACTTTGTGCTCAGATGCTCTTTAAAAATGAAGAAATGCATTCAGTTTGCATTTAAAATGGCCGACTGAGTTCTTCCTGTTTCAATGACATCAGAGCAAAGCTGACTGGAAACAGAAATATTTTCTTTATTTATCAGATTAGTGACAGGATAACTTTGCAGTCTGCTGACTTGGTGTGAATTGTGTGAAAAGCTGTAGGGACTAATTAATGAATCTTTTTTTAATCTCGCTGTAACAGACAAAATAGAAAGATTTTATACTTAAATAAAAATACGATTTTGTCTTATTTCTTGTTTATTATTGCATTCTCCATATATTTTGTTTTTCTGAATTGTTTGGCAGAAGAAGAGCATTGAAATGTAAATTATTTTTTACATTTATTTAGATTATTTGGAGGAATGATGGAGACATTTTTTGCAGAAAAATCTCCGTAGTGACAGATATTTTTTTGATTTAGGACTTGTCTTTCGTCTGCTCTGAGCTCCTCTCAGTTTTTCGGGGTGTAACGGAGGAGCCGGTAAATGACGTGATGTTTACTGGTCTCAGTTTGTTTCTGAAAAGCAGACGGTGAGCTGAGTGACGGCGGACCTGCGTTCGCTCTGTTTGTGTTTGCAGCTTTTGTACGGCGGCTGCTCGCCGCATTAGGAAACAACAACGGGCTTTTCACAGTTCACGCTTTGCCAGGCGCCACATTCTCTCGCCAACAGCTCGCTCACACCTCAGCGCCAGATTATAAACGATGGCATAAATTAATTACAGGTAACCAACACCTGAACCCACCAGCAACTTTTGAGTCGGCGCGTTTCCATATTAATGGAGTCGCGTCTCTGCCGCTGTCGGAGCGGATCGACCCTTGCATTGTTTTAATAACAATAAATATTCCTATTATTGTTTTTTTTGGCATCACGCAACATTTTAGACGTTGAGCTGCTAACTCTACGGGGTTGTCTTATGTGAGGAACAATCCAAGCAGAACACACAAGCAGGCAAAACACAAAACCTTAACAAGAACTTTTGGTCTCATGCAAATATCTTAATACACTTGAAATAAAAGTAATTTAACACAAAGGTAACTTTTTAGCAAGAAATGGTAGCATTTTTAAAGTTAATCATTTCTTAATATTGATTAAAAAAAGTACTTATTGTGTTAGTAGATTATTATAATTTCAACATGATATTTTAAATGTTCATGTAAGTGAAATAAACTGCCAGTGGAACTGATACTTTTAATCAATATTAATAAATTATTCACTTAAAACAAGCTGCTATTTCTTTTCTCTTGGTGAAAATCTATTTAGAAGTTATAATAATTAAAATAAAATAAACTAAGATAGTTGCATTAGAAACGAGTTAAATACTTTTGTGGTGTACTTGCACTGATTTTGACCAATTTTTCAACAGCTGCTGTCTGCACGGCTTTGGTCTTCCAACAATTGCTTTTTGCTCGACAATTACATTACTGAACATATTCCATTAATTTCTGGTCATGTAATTTAAAAAATAACCTTAAAGAACCCATAACAGATAATGAATGAATACTGAATTGATGGAATGGGTGAATTTATATTCAAAATATTATTTTACATATAAAAGAAATTGCTGATATTTCGTGTTTTGTTTGTGTGTTTTAAGGTATTTTCTTTTTTGTAATGTTTTTAAATTGTTGAGTCGGTTGATTTTAATGTTTTGTTTTAAGAAAGTTTCTAAAGACTATAATGTAACATTTCTGGAAGAATCTTTAAATAGACAAACGTAATGACCTAAATTCAAACTCGTATCTTTTGGATTCACTTTTGGGTGACATAGTGAATAGTAAAAATAAACCATGCATCGTTTTCCGTCCTTTTCTTGTTATATCACATAAAATCCCAATAAAACACAATACATTGTTGAGGCTGCAATTTGAAAAACGTGTCAAACTTTAAGAGGCAGAAAGGATTTTTGAGCCTGAACCAAAGCCAGGAGCAATCCTCATTAAACCTCAAAAGTCACTTTCAGCTGTTACATAAGCGCTCCAAATCCTTTGTATGTGAACACAGAAACATCCTCAGCGATCAGGCATTTATTTATATTCCCCTATTGATCAGAACCGCTTTAGAATATCACAAAGAAAGCCAAGTTGCCTGGCAGTGGAGCACAAAGACATGAAAGGTGATTTAAAACATTTGCACAGGGAACAAAGTGAAGCAGATGAATAATGAATATTAAGATGAAATGTTTCTTAAAAGGATGATCCACTCCATCTTGGCACAGAGCCTCTGTTTACCACATTTGGGCCAGAAATATCAAGAAAAAGAGAGAAATTCAGATTTCATACTCGCGACGCAGCGCTGTGGCTAATTACTAACATTTAAAAAATGATTATGGGCTGAGACAGAACATCTGGGGAAACCATTCAAAAACTCATCAATGCCCACAAAACATCCTGCAAAAAATAAATAAAAACTCAAACAAAGCATCTGCTTTCTCTTGCAGACGAGTTTTTCTTGTCAGTAGCAGGCAGGATGCTTCAACGCCGCCGCGGAGCGCCAGCTAGCTGGTGGAGAAGGAGGTGATTAATTCAGGGAGAAATCAGGAGACAGCTGCATGAAACTATAGAAGAAGAAAAATCTTTCTGATCATTCCCATCCCTGCTTCCATGTGAGCATTTATGCTGCAAACTAATTAAATTATCTCCTGATTTGGTGATTAAATCTGAGATCTGGAAGTGGAGAAAAAATATGTTTCGGAATGCCTGAGGATCTGGACTTTGACTGGACCATTGCCTCACCTCTTGCTCCTTTGTTCTGGTTTTTTATCCAATTTTACAGCTTTATTCTATAATACTTTGGGTTGCAGAGGCGTTTGTGGTCCATTCAACGACTGCAAAGAGTCCAGGTGCAAAAATGACCCAAAATCACCAACTGACCACAGTTAGCATGATGTGTTTGTCCTGATCTGCTGTGTTTGTTTCCTCCATCAGGGTCAAGCATTTCTTCTTTGGTCTTATGGTTCCAGGAAGTTTTAGCTTCTGTGAATGTAAAGCCTCTCACATCCTCAGGCACACATCAGCTCCGTTCATTCTGAGTCCATTTGTCTAGAAAGTCCAGTTGGTTGAGGTGTGAATGCTAATCGAACTCTGATCCATCTGCAAACCTCTCCCCTCAGGTCGGTTGAAGTGAACTCTGGTTCTGTTTGAATGCGCATGAGAACGCCAAGTGGTCCAAAGACCGCTTCAAAAGCAGAGAGCAAGGCATTCTGGGTAAATACAACCAAAACAAAAATGCTAGCCTAGCGATAACAGAAAAATCCTCAAGCTAAAACCTGACGAGTCTCTACTTCTGTTGGCATTTTCGTGTCATTTCCTTCAGTGGTTCTTGGTGCAGCGCCACCACAGGCGAGGAGGGGAACTGGTTGCTCAAACGGTTTGGTTGGTTTGACTCGGAGCAGAGAGAAAGAGAACCACAGCAGCAGGAGATGGAGCAGATGAAGAAGATTTGGACCCAGTAGAACCAAGTCAACTGGACCATCAGGATGAAACATTCTAACTGTATTTTTGAAATCATAAAACATTGACCTGGTGCTTATGATATACTTCCTATCCTATACATGATACCAGAGGTTATATTTTACACTGCACCCTTTTTCCGTCTCCCAGAAACCAGCACAGCAAAGTGTGGGTGCAATCTGGAGGCGTGGTTTGATTAGTTTGGCGGTTGGAGTGCATTTAGGAGTCTCACTTCCATGAGTAACCAATCCAGACCAGTGTACATGGGTTACTATATCAACTGTGTCTCCCAGCGATTGATTTCCTGGCAGCATGCTCAGAACAATCGGACAATCCACTTTTTGACTGATTTGAACCCTTATCTGGTTTTGTGGAAGCAGATAAATGTGTTTAAACATGTAAATTAAAATAAAAGGGGATCCCAAATAATGACATCATGAAGATGTTTGCAGAAGTTGCAGGAAGTCTGGATCACAACCAGAGTAAAGTACTGTCTCTGCATGTAACTTCATTAGCTTGTTGACCTGCACAAAGCCTCAAATAAGTCATAGACCAAAATGAAATCATGCAGCTAAATTGCAACAAACAGGAGTTGATTTCAGGGCCCATAGCTCATCTTTGCTCTGCAGCGCACTAATTTGGTCATTAAACCAAGCGAGCAAAGTTAGGTTCAAATTTCCAACGGAGCAAAATGAGCACATTGATTAACAGAAAGCTCGTGACCGTGAATTTGCTTGCACAAATTATGAAACGGAGGCCAAAAAAAAAACAAAAAACAAAAAACACACACACAAAAAAAATGGGAAAGCGATGCAAATTAGACAAAATTAGAAAATGATGTGTATCAGCTTCAGTCAAACGCATGAAAACAAGTAAATGAGGTCTATTTTTGCCTCCACACAAAACTATCTGCAGTGGCTGATATAATCAGTCCTGTCCTCAGATTGGCTTTTATTACCTTCAGGGAAGAACTGTTATTGGTTAGTAGGTGAAGTCGTTCTCCAAGTGTTTCCAGCTAGAAAGATTAGACTTATTGCAGCCGCAGTAACTTATTCTGACAGAATAAACACAAGAAAAATAAAACTGGCGCCCCAAAAGTCTGATCAGTGCAATCGATGAATAACTGACAGCAAGCGGTTGACATTTAAAAAGCCGGGCGGCGGTGCAAACACAAACGCACAGAAACAGAGACATAAAGAGGAAAGTAAAAGATACCAACCATGAGCTGCAGGTTCAGCGCTGGGCACAGTGTCTGAGCACACAGGGGGGAGGACAGGGAGGTGTGGAGGAACAGGAGGAACGACATGCAAATAAAGAAGAAACGGGGGGGAGGAGAAAACAAACAACACCCATAAGCAAGCATTCAGGAGACCAGAACATGACAAAAGACATAAGACTTAAGGGAAATCAAAGGGAGCCGGCAGCAGCGCAGAGATAAACACCAACACAAATACGCTTCCCACTGCAGACGGTGAGGAAGATACACAGCCGACCGTTTTCATGTGCACAGGCACAAAACATTTAACTACTTCTCAACGTCCAGTTCTCACCGACGGGAAAAGTTCAAACAAAAAGGGCTGAAGCTGCTGAGATGAGATACTGACCCACTGCTTTCATTAAAACATAAAGATCCACTTCACTCCATCTGACGGTTCACAGGAAACAAGCCTGGTTTACAAAACGGCGATAAAGCTGAAGTATAAAAGTTTTACAAAAAATGAGTTGTTCACATACATAACTCTCATATAGTCACAGTTTGATATGTGACAGAAAGTCTGTGAAAAAAACTGAGCACCTCCGCCTTCACCCTGTGCTAAGTAGAAACAACCAATCAGAGCCAGGAGGAGGCAGGTCTTAGCGCTGTCAATCACCCTTGTGTATGCTATAGTACCTTCCCCACAACAGAGCCTGTCCTGAAAGCTTAAGCAAGACCACCAATAATGGCGGATAAAGAGCTTTCCTGTATCGATGAAGTGCTTTCTGTCATTAGCACATTTAGCATCGAGTGCATTAGTGTGATTGACATTACTAAGACCCTCTGCCTGGGTCTGATTGGTTGTTTTTGGTGTATTACCTCAGACACCAATAGTAACTGGGGAAAGAGTTGGAGGAAGTGTCTCATAAATACTTAAAACCATATTCTTTATGAAAGTTACAAACTGGAGCTTTAAGGCAAGAATGATAAGGAAAATGGCTGAAAATAAGGAAAATCATAAGAATATACTGAAGGAAACTTTTAACTGGAGCTTGCAAAAGTTCCCCTTAAACACTTTCACGATTCTCACGGCGACATTGAGCTCTTTAACCCCTCCTAATAAATCAATAAATTAATTTATTAAATCTTTAAATAAAAGTTTTGTTGGTTATTTTTACTTCTTTCCAGCAGAGGCTGTTTATTTCCCTTTAAATGGTTCTTTATTTTCTAGGAAAATGTGTTGCGGCAGAGTTGAGACAAAAATCTACTAAATCTTCCCTGATGAACAATTTATTCAACTTTTGTGGTTTTCAAAGTGGGGCTGCAGGACAAAGCAACATAGAAAGCTGGAGGATAGATAATAAAAAATAAATTTTGTGAAATAATTAACTTGTAACTAAATATTTAGGTTGAAACTGACATATGTAAATAAAAGAATAACATGGTGAAAATATGACTGAATCCCTTTTGTTCCTCTTTTGACAGGCTACATAACCCAAATTATTGCTGTTAATTTGAATTTAATAACAGCAAGATGAAACTTCGATTATTTGATTCAGAGGAGAAACAGTTTTTTTCATCAAAACCTTGTTGTTCAGATGGAAATAATTACATTATTTAATTTTCTACCCTCATTATCTGCAGCTAAAGTTTGGAATAAACACAAAGTAGAACAAAAATTAATTTTTTACAGCTCAACACACATTGCATGTGTCACAATACATGTCCAACTTGTTATGCAAAATCATCAAACGATCATTCACATGCACTTTAAAATCATTTACTTTAATAGTTTCAAACTGTCACTGTTGATTTCTAATCTCCAAAACGAGTGATGCTTTGAGAGAAAAGATGCTGCCATAACCCAGTGACATCCAGCTGCAACTCATGAAACCAGTTGCATTGACTGGTTTGTCTTTAAGGAACATCCTGTCAGTGGAAATGAGACAAATCCCAGTCGGTGGTGCTGCAGCAGAGGCAGAGTTCACCTTTACTCTCCCTGAATCTATTAACATTTACATAGAGAACAATGTCAGATGACACTGGAGTTGATGCAGAGTTTTCTGTTTGTTGCAACAGCAGCACAGAAACAGTAATTACAGGATTCGTTGGCCGCTGCGGTGGAAACCTGGTGTTTCCAGGGCATTTTCAGAAAGTCCATCAACAAGCCAAAGGTAACCACAAAGGGTTTTCTTCTCAGAGTAAACAGTTACCATCACTGAAAAAGTTTGTTTATTTCAGTAAACATGGTTTTCTCCAGCCAAAAACATGACTAATCACGAAGAAGCCTGCTGATGTAACAGTAGCTGCGTTTCCATTACAAACGTGAACAAAACTTTGTCAAATTTTCGCGTTTGTCGGAAGAACTCAATTTTGCAATTGTGGCGCTTCAAATAACAAACTCAATTAAAATCACATCTGCCAATGTTTGTCCACACAATGAGTCACGGAGCAAAACGTGCTGCACCATCGTCCTCCAACCACTTCCTGTCTCCCTGAAACTCAGACTGTTGTTTTTAACTTGAAACTGTGAAATTCAGATTTCCTCATTATATAATAAATTCAGAAGTCTAAATAATCTATATTGAAGTAAAACAGCTAACACGGTGAACAGTTAGCTGTTAGTTGTAACTAATGATGTTAGCAGTTAGTTAACAACTCTCCAGCTGTTAGCTTAGGTGCTAGTCAAATTTCTGATGCCTGAATTTATCTCTTGAAATAGTCCTACACACTTTAGCAATATGACAGGCTACATGTTTATACATATGTGGATTTATGTTGAATTAATTTATGCTCAATTAGTACAGTGAAAACTGTCGGCTGTAACTGCTAACAGTGTTAGCTGTTAGCAAACAGCGCTAATCGCATCTCTAATGCCTCGGATGTCTGAATTTATCTTCAGAAATAAAGTTGTAGCCAATTTAATAATGTTAAAAGGTTGAATCTTTCTGTGTGCAATTGAATTTATTTATGTTCTTTCTTTTTCTGGAGAAATAAAAGGGTTATTTTTTTACTGAAAATTCCCACAAACATCCATGTTTTTTAGATGATTTTTTCTATTAATTCAATGGTAAAAACTCCACCTCCTCTCCTTTTCATGCTTTCATTTCTTCTTCAGCAGGAAACAGGAATGCAGACATTAACAGAGCTTTGATGTTTTGTAGAGATAATGGAAACAGTGTTGACGATAAAAGCACTAAAGTACAGTTTAAGGGTTTGTAAATGGTGTATAAATAGTGTGAAATAAAAACACAAACCCTCTGCACCGTAGATAATTTACAAAGCTCATGCCTGGTTATGCTTTCAACCAGTTATCGTCTGAATCAAGCAGAAAGACTAACAAAATACGACAAAACACTTGGCAGGAGGCAAAAAGAAATGACATGGACAAAGAGAGGAGAAAATGAAAGAAAAACATCCACCAACCGTTTTTCATACCAGATATGAAAAACCAACCATTTGAAGGCAGACGGATTATAATATTATCAGCATAAAAATTGTTTTACATTTATTTTGTTATCCATTTTGTTTTCTCACTGCCTGTCAGACTAAACTTTTCCTGTTTTAGGCCAGATAAAATCAACTTAATTATCTCTGTTTGCTAAATATGAAAATGTAGACAGAATATCTTATTACTTTTTAAAAATCTGCTCCTATAATCGAATATTCGGTGATCCTTCCTCACGCTTCTCATAATGATAATGTTTTGCTGTGTACTTAGTATCATCAGCCACAGGGGCGTCAGTAGGCTTTAAGGTCAAAGGGGCCTCAGCCCCAGGAAATGCAAACAGATAAGTACAACATTTCTCCAACTGCAACAAAAAAGAAAAAGTAGTTTTTCCACTTCTAAAATAATGTTCAGGGCAGTGTTGTAGTACTCGAGGCCGGTCTTGATGGTCTCGTCTCGGACTGGACCGCATTCGGTCTCGGTGAGCGCCTGGTGCTTGGTTACTTCTTGCTTGTTGCTCTTTGGTCAGTGTTCATAGTTGAGCGTTGTTTACCGTCAGGACATTGCCTCAATTGCTATGTTTAATGGTGCAGACAGATTTCTGACGTGAATCATATTGGCAAACGCTCATGCCATCACCTTTTTAGATCAGCAGAACAAAGAGTTTGTTCTGCTTTTAATACTGGTAAAATTTATTTCAGCTCTAAGTATTTAATATATAGGTGTTTTTATGGGAATGTGAATCTTTCAGATCAATTTGATTAGCAATTTTGATCATAATTCATATTGTATTGTGCCATGTAGCGCATGGCACTGGTGTTGATTTTGTCTTGGTCTCGGGTTAGGTGGTCTTGACTACAACACTGGTTCAGGGTAACAGAAAACTCTTCTCCTAGAAAATAAGATTGTAAATGCTTAATATATAAATATAATACAGTTATTGTTCTTAAGATAATTATAATTTTCTATAATGCCTAAACTGTTATTTTTTGAAGAATATAATTCTAGCCGTATTTTTCAGAGCGTTCTACCATAATTTAAAGAGAAACTGACAGATTTGTGATCAAGACGTCTGCTCCTGATTGGCTGATTTCTTCAGATTTCTCTGTGATGTCACACAAAGAAGTGTTTAACGTGTTACTTTGACCTAAATTTTGGCTGAAAAGTTTCAATTCTCCCTTTGATTTTCAACTATTGCAAGACTTCAGCTAAGCTTAAAGATGGACACCAGGTTTCATGTTCACATTTTTATTGATTAGTGTTTGTTCCAGCTGAACTAAAAGACACCCAACACATCACATTACAGGCTTCGAAATGATCAAAATAAGGACACATTTTCCAGAACTCCTGGCATGTAAGCACGTTTTCTGTCCTGTGTAAATGATCTGCAGGTTGTCAGTTCTGGTGGTTTTAATATGATTACGACGTAGTGAGAACAACAGGTGTATAGCGTTTGTTCAAGTGTGATCAACAAACCACAACGGCAGAATCTTTAAATAGAAAAATCCTCTTTGCCTTTCAAGGCTGCAGCTAACGAGCTCACTGAGGTAAACACTCGTCAAGGATCCTGTTCTCTTGCCTAGAATGTCAACATAATTAATATGAAAGTGTTGATATCACAAGTGTAAATATCACACAGATATTTATGATGCATGGTAACAGGAAAACCTGCTTCCTGTCTGTCTTCATGAAACCAGGAGGTTGTTCCAATCTGTGTGAATCTTATGCATTTTTTTAGATCAAAATGATGAATTTGGGATTAAATTTGGTTCTGTGTTACTAGCCACATCAATCACAGAGTATAACTTGACATGAAGTCAGGTTGAAAGTAGAAGTAAGGAACACTGCCTCCTGCAGGCGTGTGTTAGCGTCACTTAAACTTGATATTTTGGCAGGTTTAAGTGACAAAAAAGCTTTTTGTCCCCAATTTAGTAAATGTATTTTTGCATTCAGCTCACTTCACTATTGTCGCTGGTTGTTTTCTTCATGCAGTCAAAAATGTGTAATCAGCTATGCTGCCACCAAGTGGTTACAGTTATGCTCATTTATGCCTATTTTCCCGCTATTTACCTTCATTTATCCATTTTGATTTGCTCAGCTTTTAAGGCTTTACTTAATTTATTATCTCCTTGACAATATAACATCATACATGTTTTATTCAATTACTGTTTAATTTCCCTTTGGGATCAGTAAAGTATTTCTGAATTTGAATTGAATTGGATGTTTTCAGCTGATGTTGAGGCCCGATGTTATTTTTTTTTTTTTATCGATTTCTGTAAGTTTCAGTCGTCCGTCTGTACACTAAGATGTGCTGGACTCCAGACTAAGTGCTTTCAGCCATTATAATTTCACTGATGCTCTCTGAGGGCTGCATGTCCCATGACGGCGTTTATTGTGTTACTATTGATCGGCGGCTGGATCCAATTTTAAAACAGAGGACTGAAAACGAGGAAAGTCGTGGACGAAACCTTGGGTAAAGTGAGGTGAGAGCAAATCTAAATTCATAAAATTCCTAAATCACTTCCCCAGATGGTGTTTGTGTAATTTAAGATGGTGACAAACATAATGAATTTTTGTTTCTCTTCCCTTCCCTTCACTGCATTATTGTCCTGTTTATGCTGTGGGTTAAATTAATTGCTTGTCAGCACCGTTTATGTACTTTCATCAATTTAAGCTAGCCTGCTGCCTGATTGTTGTCTTTTCACTGCATGTGCATTTATTATTCTTTTGTTTTGGCCATTCATGGATTAAGCACAATTGTCCATTGCACTGTGCTGACTTGGGGGATTATTAGTCATATTGTTTTGATGGTCTGGGGGAGTGAATAGGTGGGAAGGTGGGTCGTTTTTCAACAAAGCCCTGCACTTTTTCACCAATTTCAGAGTCAGTTTGGATTCCTCCGAAGACCTCTGTAGCCCCGACTTCTGCTAATATAATAGGCTGCTGCCCCAGAGAGGGAGCTGCACAATAAGAAAGCTTTTCAAGGAAAACCTTTGCTTTTACACAGCCAGAAAAAAATATTAGACAGCATAGAATATGTGGGAAAAAAAAACGTGGACATAAAAGGAGAGGAAATGCAACTCCTGAAGGTGTTGTGACAAGTAGAAAAGATGGAAAAATCACAGCAAATGTGAGAGGAAATTATTAACAAATCCTGCAATTGCAGAAGCAGCACAGAATCTTATTTAGTGGCGATTACAGCAATTTGCTCTCACTGAAGTGCAAGGAGTTTTTTGTTAGCAGATATTTAGAAATTCTCAATCTGAGAGAAAGCAGTGAGAGACGAGACGGCATCTGGCAGGAAGCTTCAGTTTGTCGCCTCACGATGAAAATATTGGCTGTGCAGATGAGAGGTTGGCTTTATCAGGAGAAGTCCGGTTGTCAGGGAGGCTGAAATAACCTGCCAGATTCTCTGCATTTCCAGGGATTATCAATGAAAACACGGCTGAGGCTTTACTGCTGGAGTTTCCTCACAATCTGAGTGGAAACATTCAGCGTTCAACTAGAAAACGGTCAACAGCCAAATTCTCTGTTTGGCTTCAAACAGGAAATTATACGTCCAACAATTCACATTCAGGTGACGTCTTCACAGTTTGTAAAGTCCTTTCTAACATTAATGTATAAATATTTCTAATTAAAAATATTTTAGTTTTAGCTTTTGAAGCAGAAACAAAATTTATTATGAATTTAATGCATTTGTTTCTACAGTAATCTGGTGTCAAATGTGAAAACAATAAAAAAAGACAAGAATCGATGGATGTCTGGGTGAATGGATTCATGAATAGATGGATGGATGTTGGACCACTAGATGGATGAATGGATGTTGGACCAATGTATGGATGGATGGATAGATGGATGGATGGATGGATGGATGGATGGATGGATGGATGGATGGATGGATGGATGGATGGATGGATGGATGGATGGATGGATGGATGGATGGATGTTGGACCAACAGATCGACAGAAGACCAGATGGATGTTTTCCCTACTCAAGCTGCCATGGTGATGTGTTCAGTTTTGCAAACTGAACACAGATCGGTTATATTTCCTCAGCATTGATGATTTATACCAATTTTTTCAAAACTTCTGATCTCCTTTAGTGTAACTGAAACGCTTCTACTTCCTGTTCTCAGCAGAAAGTGTTCCTGTTGGTGACGGGCGATGAAAAGGTGCGGCCCTACGGGGAACTCGGCGTTAATCATCCAGATATTTCTAATCAGCCAGTAGCCAGCGCAGACTCTGGATCTGCACAGCAACCTGCATGGATGCGCGTTCCCTCTAATCCAATCAGATGGCATAATCAAGCACAATGCCTGTGATTTCTGCCAGCCTTGTGAGATTTGTTCCAATTGAGCGGTCCGTCAGCGCAGCTTTGATTGCGTTTGGAGCTCAGGCTGATTTAGAGTCGATGTTTTCTATCTGACACCTTTGGAGGTTTAAACCCGCCTCGTTCCCCCGGGTCCTGCCGCTAAAAAATCGGCCTCTTTTTTTAAAGAGAGGCCTAATTTCTGAGTGCTCATGTTCATTTGTTGGTTTCCTCTCATTACTTTTCTGTTTTCAAATCCAGCACCGAATTTGATCCAACATTTGCTTCAGGAAAATATGTACAGTTCCAGCAGGTCGCGCGTCCCCACTGGAGCCATTAATGTCACATTAATCTGGACTTTTGTTGATTTATTGAAACATTGTTTGAGTTTCGTTTGTTTCTTTATCCAAGCTTGAAAAAAAAAACACATTCTCACTTTGGCTGCAGCTAATAATACTTTTATTAACTTATTATTCTATCAATTTGTACTGGTGATTAATTGATTAACTGGATAAGATTTTTAATTTGCCCATTTTAGATTAGAAATAAATTGAATGATGTAAATAAACAACATGTAGTTTCCTTTTAAAATAAGTAAAGTCAACACTTTATTGTCTAAAATGCAACAAAAGTATTCCATCTTTTAAAACTATTCTGATGATTAATTGATTAGTTACAAAATATTTTTTATTTAAGTAGTTCAGCATTTTTTAAACATTAGAAATACATTAAAAGACACAAATAAATAAGAAATTTCTTCTTAAATAGGAAAATAAACATTTTATTGCTTTAAATTTAGTGAACGCTTGATCATTTTTGATCAAAAAATGTATTTACTAATTTGTTAATAATTAATCAATTAATAATTTTTTTATTATTCCTTTAATTTCCTTTTTATTTATCTATTATAATTTATCTGCACCAGTAACAGTTTACTTGTTTTGTTATTCATGTCATCAAACTTTTAAAAAATTTTTCTAGATTTTTTCCAGCAGCCAAGCAGCAACATTTTGCTGCCAAATAACTGGAGAGCAAAATGTCCTTAATCGGAAATTTTTACAGAATTTGATCCACTGCACGTAATGCAGTTTCCTGAACAAAGTGCATGTTAACGAGCATTTGAAGCATTTAACCTTCTCAGTTGATTTTTTATGTGTAAATATTGGTGGCTTGAGAAAAAACAACATATATTTGCATTATAAATGAATTATGAGCCATTTTTTGCAACCTAAAAGCACCAGTTTGTTCTGACACAATGAGCAACAACACAAAAGTCTCGGTCCTCTCATTTCCTCGCTCACCCACATCCTTACACAGATGCATTTAGAAAATGTGGAAAACATGAGGGGGCGACGTCACTCTGAGCCTCGGAGTGCTGTAATTACTCATCATTTATGACCGGCTCAATGATCGTTCAAACCCCAGAAAAAAACGATTCTTCTCTCCATATTTATTATTTTTATAACCATTATGAGGAATGTTGACGTCTTCGATGGTGACCATGCCGTGACTTATTACACTTATTTTGTGTGAATAAAGTGTTAGCAAGTTTTTCTGACAAATGGAAGCTGATCTGAGCCTTGGTATCAGTCTCATTCTCTAATTGCTTTTTCTGAGCTCTTTCCATTTCTGTTAAATAATGTGAGCCTAATTTAGATTTTCTGTTAAAGCCGAGAATTAAGAAGTTTTTTAAGTGATAAGAACTTTAAGAAGTCTCCATCCAAATATGGCCGACACTAGGCATCTTTACAGTGTGATATCCTCAATTAAAATACCACAGAATCAAAGTATGAACACAAATATGTGTAAAAAAATTCAATTTGTCTTTTAAACTTGCAACTCAAGCTGTGAAAACAAATTAAAATTTATATATGTTAGTTTTATTTATTTTCAACTTAACAGTGTTATGTTGGTATTTTTGATTTTCATGGCCAAACAAATTTCTGAATGTTGAAAATAAACGAGATCTGAAAAGATGTTAAAGTGGATAAATTAGCAACAGTGCTTTCCCCACACGTGGCCACACCCCTTTGTGTGTATTGGCTCCACCCACTTTGGTTGTTTTTTTTTTTTTTTTGTAAATTTTTTTACAGAAAAAGACAAAATCATAAAATCACACAGTGATACAGTACCTTGACCGGCTGCAGGATTCAGGGTGGAGGTGGTGATGGTGGAAGTGGTAGTGATGGTGGCTGTGGTGGGTTTAGGGGTGGTGGTGGGAGCATCTGGATGAGAGGACAGATACGTGTCAAACACAGGGCAGGACAGGAAGGAAAGGAGGGGAACAGATGAAAATAACAGCCACAAAGATAAAGCCTGAGTGAGGCGATGCTGTCTGCAGCTCATGTGGGCGCAGCGGCTCAGCGTGTGGCGCTGTGAGTGAGAGGGTGGAGGTGGGTGAAGTACTGCAGTGCAACGTCTCACCAGGCAGGAAACGAGAGCATCTGAGGTGTCACATCACTACACCGTGCAAGTTACGAAATATAAGAGTCAAACATGCAGAGGATCTGCACACATCCATCGACATCTCAGGTTTTTGTGACATTAAAACCTTTGAACTGGAAGTTTATCCAGCTTAAAAACAAACATGTCTGCTGTGAGGCAGAGCTGGACAACCAATCAATAATATGTAAGACACGATCAATACCAACTGATAATACATGTCATAGTACTTCCAATAGTAACATTCACTGAACTCAGATCCAGAACAAGCACAGCACTCTGGGAGACGTAGGCAGAAGAAGGTTGCAGTCACACAGCCTCTCACAGCGATCTTAGAAAAGTGAGTGAACAAACTAACTCCCAACTCTGGTTACCTACCAACCAGCAGAGTAAGATGCACAGCAGCAGTTTAAGGTTTTGCCACCGTGCTTCAAAACCTCTTAAGAATAAAATAGTGAAATATGTAAGTGAAAACATTCGACATTGGAATCAGAAGATCAATATTAAGAAATTATTTACTTAAAACAAGCTCTTAGTTATTGTTAAAAAGTTACTTATTAGTTTATCTTGTCATATTTCCAGTGCACTAAAATATCTGTGCAGAAAACCAGACAAAATGACTTGGTGAGATTTTGTGTTTTTGCAGAGAAGCTGCATTTTCCAGGGAGGTCACAGTGGAGCAGAAGGACCTGAACAAGATCCACTGGTGTGAGTAAAACCAAACAGTCTTCAGTCAGAGGCCCCTTCAGAGACTGACTGCTACTGGAGATCATTCTGGCCTACAGCATTTGATATAAACACATTTAATATTCTTCTGGAATAAGCAAAGTATTTTTGAATTGAATTAAACTACAATTGGTATATTTTATCTCGTTTAAGGTGGAGTAAGTTTCAAAATGACTCACCTTGGTCTTACTTGTCACAAAAACCTGTTGATTTACGGTGGACATGTCCACCATTTAGATCCACTGTATGTTGAATAATAAACTTAGTAGTTATTCACGAGCCGCCCTCGTGAATAACTACACCTGTAGGCCTGTTTCCCTATGGCAGGGAAAAACATGTATAAACATAATCAAATGGCTGCATGGAAACAGAAGATGAACATTAAAAGTGAGGAAAATGAAACAAGCAGCTTTAAGCGGGGTTGATGAACAAAACATTCTGACTGGAGACCATTTTCCCCTCACAGCTTTTTCCTTTTTACTTCATTAGCCGGGTTAGACTCCCCACCCTGACAGTGACCAGTGGGAGGTATCAAAGTGACATTTTCCCCATCCAAGTGTCTGGGCTGCATTGATATGAAGCAGCCGGCGGTGCTGCTTGCTTAGAGACCTCCCATGCAGCTCTGATTACCTGGGAATGGACTGAGGAAAAAAAAAAAATAAAGTAATTTGTGGCTGTTGATAAGGAGGAAAGCTAGTCCACACTTTAATGAAATAAGGTGTTATAAGAAGGTGAGGAGAGGAAATGTGTAGGGACAGAGACAGGAGGAGAGGAAAGTCAATGAGATGGAAAAACTGTTGGCTTTAGCAGTTAGAGGGTGAAAAATGAAGCTAATGCAGGAGTGTCAAAAACAAATGCTTCAGAAATGTAATATCACTGAGTTTAAATTGCATTAACCCCTAATATTGTATATTCATATGAGTAGGGAGGCACTTTGCACTGTAAGCATGATGGATTACAATAAAAACAAGCTCTTTGTTGCTTCAGAATACATCTTGGCACCATGTGTGCTCCATACTTTAATTCATTTTACCTGAAAGTTTTAAACATGTTTTGAGCTTTAATAGTTGTCATTTTTCTGACCCGCCCGGTCTCCTGTCCGCTCACTTTTCTCGGACTCCGGTTAGCAGCTAACCGTTAACTAAAGTAGTGCTACTTATAGCCTTGGTGGAGAGGGGCGGGCCAAGGAGCACTAAGGGATTTCATTGGATAAGCGTCTATGAAATCAACCAATGGGCTCTCGCGGTTGATAAAAATTATATTTGTTCTTTATTTTTTGTTAAATTATGACAGCTGAGGTCCATCCCATATACAGTGTGTGCATCAGACTGTAGCCCAGTCAGCCACTCCTACCCTGATCATTATTTATTTCTTTGAGTGGCAATTAATACACTTCTCATACTTTTTAACAACAGCAATTGCATCAAACTGTATAAATTCTCAATTTATTCTGCTTTAGTAATAAAAGCTGCAAAAAGTTCATTTAAATGAAAACAGATAAATAATTTTTTTTTTTTTATCTGAGAGAGAGAAGTTGAGAACTTTGTTGTTTATATTCTTTTCATGCAAGGCTGCAGCATAAAGGTTAATTCACACCAACACACTGCAGATAATTAAGTCAGCTCTCATCTCCAACCGGTTTCATAGCCGCAGTAATATTTCTGTTGAACAGTAAAATAATGTCTGCATGTTTTTTATAACTTTTAAAAGCAAACCCAGACCAGCATGAGTTCTTTTTCCACGCCTGCGTGACATTTTGTGTGATTTTCAGAAGGTGGGTGGGTCATCATCCCACTGAGCTACGAGGTGAATATTGCAAACATGGTACATTCACACTGCGACAAGCTCTATTTTAAGGTTGTTTTCTTAGCATTCAGGTCTAGTTGAGAGCATGACTTGGTGTTTCAAATGTTTAGAAAAGAGAAGTCAGGATCTAGTTGATCAGACAAATTCTTTGTTTCTTTTTTCTAACGTAACGAAGAGAGACATTACCTAAGATGTGCGGAAAACTTTCTTGATGTTCCATTAACATAGGGCAAACACAATTTTTCAATTGCGGTGTTTCTATTGAATAAGAAACGCAATTAAAATCAGACGTAAATACGCAATAAGTAAAAAAAAAACAACAACAAAAAATAAACATGCCGCGCCATGGTCCTTCTACTTCCGGTCTTCTTCTTTGTGGTTTCTGCCAGTAGCAACATCCGGTTATTATGTATTATGTACCGGATGTTGCTACTGGCAACATCCGGTTATTGTGACAAATTTGTAAAATTTGTCACAACATACAGCCTGGCCGTTTAAGTCAATTTCTCAGGATGAATTTCAATCGGGCCAATGAACAAACAGAAGAAGTTGTGAAAGAAGTTGTTTGCGTTTTTTTTTCTATAGAACATAAACTTATTTGAAGAAAGATCTGCTATTTATGGATTTTTTGTTGTTGAACATATCTAAAATATTCAAAAGACAATGAAGCTTTGGAAACAGAAAAATGTCGACAGAATGCTACTTGACACACTATTGGCCATGCGTTGTAAACCAGCCAATACAGAAGCAGCATTTAGTGTCCATCGTGGTGATTGGCCCAATCAAGAAAAAGTGTACATGTTAGCTTCTGTGGTAGCACTAACACAATTTCCATTATGCAAATTAGTGCATTTTAAGATATTTTTGGAGTTTGAACTATTCAAGTAGGCAGTTATAAGAGGGTGAATCCCTTTCTAAAGTAGAAAAATAAAATATTAACTGAAGACAAGCAGTTTCTGGCTCATAAATTTATCATGAGTGTTTTCTGAAGATCTCGGGATCATCAGCTGTGGAATAAAATATTATTTCAGCTCTCTTTAATGTTATGCTGAAGGCCAAAGGTAAACGTTTTAGCCAGAATTGTAGAATATGTGCAAAAAGGTTGATTTATTGACTATAATAAAAATTAATTTGAATATTTTAATATATTTCTGTATTAAAATGAATACAATGGCCACTGTATCATTGATATTAACTAAATAAACTTGCACATAAAGATATATGAAAAGAAGTGCACTCGCTAACAAATAGCTGCTCTTCTATTTTCTACCTGAGTAAAGAAATAAAACGGCACCCAACAGAACGGGCTAATGGCTTCTCTTTCCACACTGAGTAGCTTTTTGTCAAAAGATTGAGACAAAAAAAAGGTAAAATGACCTCCTGTTTTTGTGTGTTTACAAAAGTGCACTTACGTTCAGAGGCCTTGGTTCATGATGCATCTTTCAGTCGCAACAACAACTGACTGAAAAAGCTGCTCTTTTAATTAATGAAACTATTTTTGTGCTTTAGTTTTAAATAACTTGAGCAAGTGTAGAGGGGTGAAAACCAAGTTTCTAGAAAATAAAAACAATAAGTAAGAAAATAGACACCCCAAACATAATTTTTCATTTTGTATCTTTTAATTTCTTGTTTAGCGTTATTTCAGTTAGTCCATGCAATTCTCCACATGACCACTAGGAGCGCATTGCATTGGTGGCATAGAAAAGAGGGAGATCACAAAAAGAATAAATCTTCCGTTGGATGTTAATGAGAACTCAACGTGCGCATCTCATCTTTTCTGTGTCACAGCATCACACGTTGGAGGAAGATGTTTTCTCATACATTACTCTGCCACCCAAGGTTGCAGGGTAACACAAACAGCACTGTTATCTGTAGGTATAAAATCCCAGGTCTAGATCTGGTTTTCTCTAGTTCTGCCCATCTCCATTAGTCTTAAACATACAAGATTACATCTTCTGAAAGCCGGAATAAAAATTACATGCACCAAGATTACTTTAAGTAGTTTGTTAAGAGCCATAATGAGGATGTTGTGGCTTTTGAAGAACAACATCTGAGTCAAAATGGAGGCCCATCTGTGGCTAACTCTCAGGATTACACGAGTCTGCTTCATCTTTGGGAACAATTTTCACGTGTCTTAAGGGTCTTCTGTTAAATGCATAAAGATGGCCATAATGACCATGGTTTGAACTTCAATTTTTGATTAACACAAAATTACTGACAACTGATAACACAAAAGTTAGCCATGCATTTC